AAAAAATAGCCCTAGGGTTATTTTTGTTTTTGTGATAGAGTCTTGTGTTGTTCTGGCTGGCCTTGAATTCCGGCACTTAAATGATCCTCCTGCCTCAGCCTCAGGAATAGTTTGGACACAGCTTTTTTGTTTGTTTTTGTCAGTATTGGGGTTTGAACTCAGGGCCTGGGCACAGGTCCCTGATCTTTTCTGCTCAAGGCTAGCAGGCTCCGACTTTGAGACATAGCTCCACTTCCCGTTTTCTAGTGGTTAACTGGACATAAGAGTCTCATGGACATTCCTGCCCAGGCAGGATCTTCAGATCTTAACCTCCTGAGTAGCTAGGATTACAGGCATGAGCCACCAGTGCCCAGCGTAAACAGTTTTTATATAACTAATATGTAGCAAATGGTAATTCCCCCGTAAAATGATCGTCATCCATGGTTCCAAATACATAGTTTACCTGTACATGGTATATTATATCAGGCCCTATTCTAAGATAACTAATTTATTTTGCTCATGAGCATAAGAATGATAAAGTAGAGACACAATTGCCATTCCCACTTTACAGATCATGAAAGCCAGGGAATTCCTACCTATAATTATTTTTTCAAATACTTAGTGGCTAGATTTCAAATGTCAGCTAAACTACACATATATAAATTCTAAATTTAAGAAAAATACAACCACCAATACTTATGAAAAGCTTTTCTATTAAAAATGAAGTCAGTTTTCCTCCGTAATAATACATTTTCTTACTGGGAAAGGGAGTAGAAAGACATCATATACTTGTTCTTAAAGTGATGGTTGATAGCTCCCTAAAATTCTTTTCTGAAGAGAGGCAAATGAAAACACGACAAACTTCCTCCCCCTACCTCAGTCTCCAGGTTATCTGTTATTTTTCATTCTTTGACATTTTCACATCCTCCTGAAATTATGGCCTTAAAAAAAACAACTCCAACAGGGCACTGACTCATACCTGTAATCCCAGCTACTTGGGAGACCAAGACCAGGAAGATTTGGAGGTTAATCCAGGTAGAAAAGTTAGTGAGATCTCCTTCTTACCTATTTCCAGATAAGGCAAGGTAGGAGGAAGTCCACACCGGCGCTGGGCAAGAAAACAGAGCTCCTACAAGAAAATAACTATAGCAAAAAAGGGATGGGGACATGAAGAGGAAGAGCAACCTGCCTAGGAAGTGTGAGGCCCTAAGTTCAAACCCCAGTACTAAACAAACAAACTCTGCTAGCTGGCAAGATGAATGCATCCCAGTGCTTGGAAGGCTGAAGCAGGAGGGGCTCTTGCTCCAGACCAGCTTAGGCTTCAAAGCAAGACGTGTCTTTTTTTTTTTTACTCAGCTGTCCTTCAGCTCTTCAGCTCAAGGCAAGAGTGCTCTACCACTTGAGCCATAGCACCACTTTGGCATTGTGAGTGGTTTATTGGAGATAGAGTCTCTCAGACTTTACTGCTGGGCTGGCTTTGAACCAGGATCTTCAGATGGTGAGTAGCTAGGATTACAGGCATGAGCCATCAGCACCTAGCTAAGACAAGTCTTTAAAGCAACAACAACAACAAAAAGACGGGCAGTAAAATCTGTGAGACTCTTATCTCCAGTTAGCCTCCAGACACACACACACACACACACACACACACACACACACACACACACACACACACACACACACACACACACACACACACACACAAAATAAATCAACAACTCTGCTGATGAATACTAACAACATAAACTGATGCCTCAGTTCCTGGGGTGGAGGGATGACTTTGTAGCAGGCTAGAGGAGAGAGCTCCTGGAAGCCACCCAAAATGCCCTAAGGTCAATTTATCCAAATCTGATCCACTCACGCATGCGCCAGGGCCCAACTCCTATCTCTACAAGGCCAACTCAGAGACTCTCTCTTCCTAAGCTCTGAAGGTGGACGCTGCATGATTTCAGCTGCCACATGTCATGATGCTAATCATAACTCTCTTGGACTTATCTCCTCAACTAGGCTGTGGGTGTCTGTTGTCACCATCTGCTCCAAGAACCTGGTATATTACTGAACACACATAGCAAAGATTCAGTAAGTACTTGTTTCACTAGGTTTCCTTGCTCAATACATACACTGGCATTGGCTTTGGTAAGAATCGCCCTCATGTTTGAGTCACTCTTTGGTAACCAGGAAAACAGCTCTTCAACACAAATTTAGTTGCATTTGTCCACAAGTCTCATGGTGAAATAACCCAGAGGCCTACTGCAATGCAAGCCCTTTCTTTTGATCAGATGTAAAGAACCAGAATTGGATTACTGTTCTCTTCATTCTGAGGCAAAAACAGTTATCCCATCCTCAGGAGGTTTTTGTTGTTTTTTTGGTCGGTGGTGGGGCTTGAATTCTGGGCTTGGGCGCTGACCCTGTGCTCTTCAGCTCAAGGTAAGTGCTCTACCGCTTGAGCTACAGGGCTACTTCTAGTTTTTCTTATTGGAGATAAGAGTCTCACAGACTTTCCTGCCCGGGCTGGCTTTGAACCATGATCCTCAGATCTCAGCCTCCTGAGTAGTTAGGATTACAGGTGTGAGCCACCGGCACTCGGCTCCTCTTGAGGTTTTTACACGTCCTATTATGTCACTACTTTAAGCACTACTTTAAGTCTTGGTGTCATTATAGTTACAAGTGTGGGTCAGAGATCCTGGCCACAAAATGTAATAAAAAGCTTGCTAAATCCAAACTGACTGGTCCTGAGGTCAGAGCAAGTCATAAAATGATCATAAGATAAAGTGACAGATCAACTGTAACTAATTATAGCTAGGCATTTTCTCCATTCATTCAAAACTGTGAAAGGGACTGAGTTAGTTAGTTGGTGGAGAGGTCAACAAAGGTAAAAGGTCCTTATGGAGAAGTTTAATGGACATAAGTTAGGGCATAATAAAGGAAAAAAACCAATCTGATAAGAGGTAAGGTAGATGGTTTCTCCTCCAAACTGAAGATTCTAGAAAGTGGGACTTGTCACACAGCACTAGGTAGCTTTTCCTTTATATCCAAGGCCACCCTTCCCAGAATTACTCCGAACTCCTCCTGAGGGAATTACCCCAGTACTCAGAACTATTTGCCTGTGATTTACTTGTTATCATTATCAAAAACATATCCCGAAGCAAAGAGCTTACATAACTATACTCAACAAGGGCCATAAAAGATTACTGAGAAGTTGAGGTGTGGCTCACACATGTAATCTTAGCTATTCACGAGAGTAAGACCTGAAGATCACAGTTTCAAGCCAGTCCAAGAGACTCTTATCTACAATTAACCACACATACACACACACACACACACACACACACACACACGGAAGTGGAGTTGTGGCTCACATTAGTACCTAAGGACACATTGCTTTATCCAAGATTTTTCAACTGTATGCAGGTGTTTTTCAGTGCTTCCGAATTCCCAAAGCCCTGTTGCTCCTTTGTCCCGGTAAAGGAAGAAACTGGACCATATATATAATTTCCTAGTACAAACTCACAAGGGCTTTTGGGAGTATATTCAATTTTAACAGTGACTGCATGAAGTCCAGAAGTAATCGATGTCCATATGAAATGAGGACAGCTAGTGTGCTCAGAGTGGGTGGCAAATTGGTGCTCACTGTTTATCTCCCCAAAGTTCACGCTCTCAGACCCCTTATTATTTAAAAGGGTCTCCAGGCACCAAAGGTCATGGCTTCCAAAACCTTCCGATACGGTCTTGCTCTCTGAGTTTCCTTCTCCAGTGTGTGGCAAGAATCTGTCATTCCCACACAGTTACCGGTGGTTTTCGATCCTGATCCAGAAAACGTCAAGCGAATGGCTTTTCCACAGGACCCAATGCCCAGTTCCTGAATTGGTTATGGCGAGGCTTGACCTTCTGATCAGGAAGCCTCTTCGCGTGGGGGGGAGTGGGGGGGGGGCTGGTCCGCCGAAAGCCAAAGGGAGGGAGCTGGGGAAGGGGGGAGAAAAGGGGGTGTCCGCGCCCCCGTTCCCTGAGGGGAAGGGGAGGACGCGGGAGCCACAGCCCGGGGCTGCACGAACAGGCTCCTCCAGCCCGCAGCGGCCGAGGGCGCCCGCCCCACCGCAAGCCACGACACCCCGGATCCCCACCTCAGCGACGGTCGCCCCGAGCCCCGCCCGAGGCGCCGGGCCGCCTTCCACCCCCAACCCCAACTCACAGCCCGTCTCCTTCTTGATCTCCTCCAGCTCTTCGTCCCGCAGTAACGTGGAGGCCCGAGACCCCATCGCCGCGCCGGGAGCTCCCCGCGGAGCGCAGACGCCAGCAGCGACAGCGGCGGGAGGGAAGGAGGGAGGGAGGAAGGGCGGGAAAGAAGGGCCAGGGGTCACGGAGGGAGAGAGAGGGCAGCGTTTCCTACTGCGGACCCGGGAGGGAACCCAGGAAGGGGGCGGGGAGATAGACGAACCAATCAGAAGCGAGGACACGCCCCCCCGCGCCGGAGCCGACGTCGACTCCGGGAGTTCCAGCGCCTGCGGGAGTCCAGCTGGACGCAGGCCCCGCCCTCCGGAACCGCGGCCGCCACCGGTCTTAAAGGGCCAACGCCGTGGCGGCTCGAGAGACCGCGCTTAAAAGGGCAACTCCGCCGACCCGCCGTTTTCCAATACGGTAAGCGGCGGCAGGCAGACAACGAAACTAACTGGTTTTCCACAGGATTCCGATGCGAGGGATTGCTAGCCGGCAGGGTGCGAAGAGACAAACAGAGAAAACTCCGCGTGGAGAAAATCCCGGGGCGTGTCCTCTTTAAGGAGCTGGGCGCCGGGCGGCGTGCTCCGCCACCGCTGCGCTCCCTCGGCCTGGCCGCACGGGGGCGCCGGGGAGTCGGCCGCGTGCCGATTGGCCGCTCGGAGAAGCAGCGCCTCGACGGGCGGGACGGCCCGCGCCGCGGACGCGACCCCGCGCTGGGGCGAGCGCCGGCGGCGGCGGCCCCGCGCTTCCCACCGCCGTCCTTCGGGGCGGTGCTGCGGTAACCGCCGTCGAGCGGGTTGGAGCGCCCAGAAACCACTCCTTTCGACGGCGGTGGTTCCTGGGGTTCTCGCCCAAGTTCCAGGGACTCAGTACCATTTGGCTGAAAGCAAGGTTCGGGTTTCCCGCCTTTTCTTGGGGTTGGGGGAGATCGCCCCCCCCCCAAGATGTAACTTAGGCATCGCCGAGTACCCGACGTATCTTCCCTTCGTATGAACAGTGAGGGATTTGGACTGGGTGGGATGGGGCGTGCCTGTCAGGCCCAGAGCTTGGGAGGTTGAGGTTAGGAGGACTGTGAGTTCGAGGCCAACCTCAGCTACATGGACACTTCCAAGCCAGAGTGAACAGCTGTGTCTCTCACACACACACACGCACACACAGGGTGGGGAGAAGGGAAAAGTGTTTGCATTTTATTGTCCTGGCACTGTGTATGCGGTGGGTGTGGGTGTGAGCTTGAATGTGGTCTCACTCACTTGGCTCTTGTGGTCAAGGCTAACGCGCTACCACTTGAGCCACACCTTCGCTTGGTGGCTTTTTGCTGGTTACTCGGAGAGAAGAGTCTCGTGGATTTTCCTGTCCCGGGCTGGCTTAGAACTGTGATCCTCACTCAGATCTTGAGTAGCTGGGATTACTGGCATGAGCCACCAGCACTGGGCATAAAATTTTATTTCTTATATATGTTCCGGTAAAAAGCCAGTTTAAAGCCGGACACTAGCGGCTCCCACCTGTAGTCTTAGCTACTCAGACACTTATCTCCAATTAACCAACAGAAATAGGAAGTGGTATTGTGGCTCCAAGTGGCAGAGGAAGTAGCCTTGAGTTAAAAAGCACCTGCCCGGAGTCCAAGTTCCACGACCAACAACAACCACAAAAGGCCATTTAGCAATGAAAGAAAAGTAAACTTGGGCACACTTTTCAGACAAATAACCAACCTCAGCTTGCCCAAAGTCATGCAGAATTCAGTTTCCTCTATGTGGATTAGAAACAGTATTTGCTAAGGCCATTTTCTCACTAGTTTTCTAAAAGGAACAAAAATCTGAATTCATATTCATATTCTTATCCCTCACATATACAGTGAAAGGAAAAATAACTATACTCCTAAAATAGTCTTTATTTTTCTTAATCATGAATCTCTTTAATTTTCAAGAGTTTGGATGCCTAAGGAAGATCATTTGCAGACTGCTTTTGGAACCCAAGAAAATGGATCCCAGCAGTGACTACCATTTCCTCAATCAGATTTTGTGGAGGAGAGTGAAACTCACCTTGGTGTCTGGAGTCTTCCAGGGTGTGCTCCAGCACGTGGATCCCAACAAGATGGTTGTCCTGAAGAAAGGTTTTGTTCTATTTGTCAGAAGAAGTTTTTAAGAAATTATTGACTTGGACATGGTGCTGGTGGCTCACACCTGTAATCCTTGCTACTCAGGAGACTAAGATCTGAGGATCACAGTTCAAAGCCAGCCTGCACAGGAAAGTCTGTGAGACTCTTATCTCCAATAAACCACCAGAAAATCAGAAGTGGCACTGTGGCTCAAGTGGTAGAGTGCTTGCCTTGAGCTGAAGAGCTCAGGGACAGTGCCCAGGCCCAGAGTTCAAGGCCCATGACCAAGAAAAAAAAGGAAAAGAAATTACTGACTTGGAATCAGTAAGACATATATAGTAATAAGAGGCCCCCCCATCCAAAAAAAAAAACGTCTAATAAGAACAGAGATTGGCATAAAAGTCAGACAGGGTGATATTCCCACTGCTTCAGCAGACTGAGGCCTGCATTTGAATCCCAACTGCTTTTCACCCACACTGCAAAACCCTGAGCTAGTTATCAAATTTTCTGAGCTCCAGATCTCTCTGGAATGGAGATAATGAAATGCCTGCCCCAGGGTGAGCATTAAAAAAAAATTAAAAATGGGGGGTTGAACTCAAGGCACTGTCCCTAAGCTTTTTCACTGAAGGCTGGTTTGAGCCATAGCTCTCCTTCCAGCTTCTTGGTGGTTAATTGGGAATAAGACTTCACTGGACTTTCCTGCGCAGGCTGGCTTCATACTGAAATTCCCTGATCTCAGCCTCCTCAATACTAGGATTACAGCATGAGCCACCAGTGCCTGGCTTGACCCTGAACTTAATATGAACTATCATAGCAGCTTTAGAAGTAATTGCCTTTCCTAATTTTTTTTCTGTAGTTACATAGAGTATATGTAAATAGCAATATAATAAATAGTCCTCAGGCTCAAGGTCTTAGAATGTTCTTAGGAGAATTTTAAATTCAGTGTACTGGTGGTGCTCTTTTTATTTTCTCTTAGAAGGACCTTTCTGAATTTTACTTTGCTCTTGATCATCTTTGCTTCCAAGCTGAAGCTTTGTGATTTTATTACTGATTCTTCCTTCCTTGAGGAAAATCATCAGGTGTTTTGCTTTTGGTTGGTTGTATTTGGTGGTACTGGGGTTTGAACTCAGGGCCTTGCACTTGCCAGGCAGGACCTTTTCCTACAGCTCCTTTGTATCTGTGCTGCGATCTATGCTTTTCCACGTTGTGGAGGATGGATGACAGGTATATACCCCTGAGCCCAGACATAGTGCTTCTCCCTCTACCTCACCACCACACATAGCTGAGCTAACCAGCACATGCCATTAAGCCCAGACATTGGTGGAGATGCACTCTCCTCAACTTTTTATGCCCAGGCTGGCCTCAAAACATGATCCTCTGATCTCTTCCTCCTGAGTAGCTAGAATTATAGACTTGAGCCATTTTCCTCCAGCAATTTGGAGATACAAAAAAACAAAACAAAATAAAACCCAGACTTCAGAAATTTGTCATCATATTCTCCTAACGTTTTAGGGATATACTACTTTTTTATTAACCAAGTGAATTGCTTTTGTAACAGTGAAGAATGTGGAGAGTGGCCGGAGCACCCCGGGAGTGAAGCTGTTTTTTGGGCATGAGATCATAAATGGTGAGCGTCTCTGTTCACTGAACGTTGGTATTGGGAGTGCAGGAGTTCTTTTGTTTCTTTTCTGCCTCTAGCCAATGTTTGAAATAAAACAAGATGGCTTTTCTTGCTTTTTTTTTTTTTTTTATTTTTTTGGTCGGTCGTGGGGCTTGAATCTGGGCCTGGGCGCTGTCCCTCAGCTCTTCAGCTCAAGGCGAGTTCTCTACCACTTGAGCCACAGCGCCATTTCCGGTTTTCTAGTGGTTTATTGGAGATAAGAGTCTCACAGACTTTCTTGCCCTGGCTGGCTTTGAACTGTGATCTTCAGATCTCATCCTCCTGAGTAGCTAGGATTACCAGCATGAGCCACCGGCGCCCAGCTGTTCAGAACAGTCTTACAGAATTGGAATCATTGTGATTTCCAATGTGAGGTCTGCTGGTGCTTGGCACTAGAGACACAGTCCATAAGCAGAGTCAGGAAACTGAAAAGAGACAGGTGGTCTTATTTGATAAGCTAGTTAAAACATCACTGCCAAGCGCCAGTGGCTCACGCCTGTAATCCTAGCTACACAGGAGGCTGAGATCTGAGGATCATGATTCAAAGTCAGCCCGAGCAAGAACATCTTACCTTCAATAAACCATGAGAAAACCAGAAGAGGCTCTGTGGCTCAATTGGTAGAGCGCTAGCCTTGATCTGAAGAGGTGAGGAACAGCGCCCAGGCCCAGAGTTCAAGCCCCACGACTGACCAAAAAAAAAAAAAAAAAAATCATAGTCAGGTGCCTCATGTCTATAATCCTAGCTGCTCAGGATCACAGTTTGAAGCCAGCCTGGGCAGGAAAGTCTGTGAGACTCTTTATCTCCAATAAACTACAAAAAAAAAAAAAAAAAGCTGGAAGTAGAGCTGTGGTTCAAGTGGTAGAACACTAGCCTTAAGCACAGAAAATCAGAACAGCCCCCAGGCCCAGAGTTCAAGCCCCACGCATGCATATGCAAACACACACACACACAAGTACACAAATCATTACAGGCTCAACATCTGTTCCCCATCCCTTTTATCCCTTTTCTGAAAAGTTAGGACCAAATGTCTCAGATTCCTGAATTCTTTTGGATTTTTAGAAAACATAACTCAAGTATATGCCATTCCTATGTCATAACCCCCAAATCTGTGAGTGATTAAAGAGAAAGCCTTCTAGCAGTCTGTAGTGTGCAGGAAGTTGCGGGAAGATTGAGAAGAACAAATCTCTAGAGCCAGGACAAATGATCACAAGGCAACTTGGAGGCAAAATGAAAGTACCAGGAAGCCAGAGCTGTCATCTTGGGCATTTGCAGTACTTTGGACAGTCACGTTTGGCCCTGTACTTTGCTGGCTGGGGAGGGCTTCTGGGGAGTAACATTTCCAGTGTGCTTTGCATAGTCACGCTGGATGTAAGGGGCTGGGGTGGATGATTGCTTTCCACATGGAAGCTGTAGGAAGCCATCTCTTTCTTTTTCAGTGGAACTACTGGACGAAGTGGAGCAAGGTGCAGCGGGGGAAAAGACATCTTCCATTAGGTATGACGGCATCATTCTCTGTGTGAGGAGGTTTTCCACTTGCACACGTGAGGTTAGACTTAACTCTGATCCGTTAGATGCTTGATACCTAAAATGACCTGGGGAAATAGAAATGAGAAGGAAAACATGAGTGCATTCTTCTAGCACCCTCCAGCTGAGACTGGAAGCAGTGGACGAATGAACCCCTTTTTAATGAGGTGACACAGTCCTTGCTGTGAAATGAGGGGCAAAAGCTGTCTGTAGACAGTAACCAGTAACAAGTTCATTTCATGGTTGTTGTTTTTGGTTTTTTATTTTTGTTTTTGTTTTGGTAAGGATAGTCTAACCACTGAGAGAGACAGGATGGATAAAATGAAAGATGAAGACCTAAACATATGTGAACCTGTATCACCTCCACCGGAGGCGCTGACTACCTCTCTGCTCAGTGATCTCAAATACAGTCCATCAGGTGAGCACTGACACAGAAAATCTAGGCGTTTTTGTTGTTGGTTGTGGTGGTCATAAGGCATGAACTCCAGGCCTGGTCACTGTCCCTGAGCTCTTTTGCTTAAGGCTAATGCTCCACTACTTTTTTTGTTGTTGTTGTTGTTGGCCTGAACTCTGGGCCTGGGCGCTGTCCCTCAGCTCTTCAGCTCAAGGCTAGTGCTCTACCACTTGAGCCACAGCACCACTTCTGGCTTTTTCTGCTTCTGTTTGGAGGAATCGAACCCAGGGCCTCATGCATGCAAGGCAAGCACTCTACCACTGAGCCACCTTCCCAGCCCCTGCTCTACCACTTTGGGCCACAGCACCACTTCTGGCTTTCTAGTAGTTAATAGGAGTTCTCATGACCTTTCCTGCCTGGGCTGACTTTGAACCTCGATCCTCAGATCTCAGCCTCCTGAGTCACTAGGATTATAGGCGTGAACAATTCTAGGCTCTTCGCTGGGGCTCAGAACTCTTTGCAGTTGGCAAAAGAGAGGCTCAGTGGAGCCATTGCTCCTCGGCCCTCAGTTAAGATAAGCATCTTGATTCAGTTGCTTATTTGCTATGTAAAGGATACTTTGTGCCAGGCATTGGGCTCTGCACAAGAGACAGATAATACATAAGATAAATGAGTAACTACATTCAGTATGCTGCTGCCAGATGCTGAGCAAGAAGGTAAGTATGTGGATAAGGTAGTTTTGCAACTCTAGGGTATCTAGGACACCCCCTTACTGAGGCTCTTTCTTTTCAGCGTTGTATTTTTTTTAATTGGTATATAGTAATTGTACAAAGGAGTTTCCTTGTGACAGTGCCATCCATGCATGCATATAGTGTACTTGATCAAATTTACTCTCTATTACTTTGTGTGTGTGTTGGTCGTGGGGCTTGAACTCTGGGCCTGGGTGCTTTCCCTCAGCTCTTCAGCTCAAGGCGAGCGCTCTACCACTTGAGCTACAGCACTACTTGCGGTTTTCTGATGGCGTTTATTGGAGATAAGAGCCTCACAGACTTTCCTGCCCAGGCTGGCTTTCAACAGGGATCCTCAGATCTCAGCTTCCTGAATAGCTAGGATTACAGGCATGTATCACCAGTGCCCGGTGTAACATTGTCTTTTTGTGTGTGTGCTGGTCCTGGGGCTTGGACTCAGGGTCTGAACGCTGTCCCTGAGCTTTTTTGCTCAAGGTTAGTACCCTACCACTTTTGCCACAGTACCACTTCCAGCTTTTTGGTGGTTAATTTGAGATTAGAGTGTCATGGACTTTAGTACCCAAACCATGATCCTGATATCACAGCCTTTTGAGAAGCTAGGATTATAGATGTGAGCCACCAGTGCCCAGCTGTTATTGTTTGTTCTAATGATAGCCATCTGACAGAATCTCTGTTTGATTTTTGTTTCCTTTATGATTAATGATACTGAACATTTTGTATTTATTGGCCACTTGCACTTTTTCTAGAGCTATTTGATTCATTTTCCATTTATTATTTGGATTATTTATTCTTTTGGTATGTAATTTTTGGAAGTGGACATTTTGGCAGTATGAAGTTTGCTAGTTTTGTACAACAAATATTTACCAAATGGTCATTGTCTGTTTTGCTTTGCAGATACTTTTGAAAATTGGATCCAATCCCATTTGTGATGTTCTTTTTTTTTTTTTGCCAGTCATGGGGCCAGAACTCTGGGCCTGGGCACTGTCCCTGAGCTCTTCAGCTCCAGGCTAGTGCTCTACTACTTGAGCCACAGCACCACTTCCGGCTTTTTCTGCTTATGTGGTACTGAAGAATTGAACCCAGGGCTTCATGCATGCAAGGCAAGCACTCTACCACTGAGCCACCTTCCCAGCCCCCCATTTATGATCTCTTGCCTTCCTTTTCTCAACAGTTGAGTTCCTATTCAGAAAGGCAAAACCACTGGGTGCCAGTGGCCCACACCTGTCATCCTAGCTACCTATTAAGGAGGCTAAGATCTGAGGATTGCGGTTCAAAGCCAGCCTGGGCACAAAAGTCTCCAATAAACCACCAGAAAACCAGAAGTGGCGCTGTAGCTCAAATGGTAGAGCACTAGCCTTGAGCTGAAGAGGTGAGGGACAGCACCCAGGCCTAGAGTTCAAGCCCCAGGACTGACAAAAAAAAAAAGGCAATACCTAGTTGAGTCTGAGGACTCAAGCCTATGATCCTATTTGAAAGGCAGAGATGGGGGCGGGGGGAGGGATTGAAGTTTAAGGCTAGCCCAGGTTAAAAAAAAAAAAAAAAAAATTCATGAGCCCAACACTGGTGGCTCAGGCCTGTAATCCTAGCTACTCAGGAGCTGAGATCTGAACATGGCAGTTTGAAGCCAGCCCAGGCAAGAAAGACCCTTAAGTGGCACTGTGGCTCAAGTGGTAGAGCACTAGCCCTGAGCTGAAGAGCTGAGGGACAGCGCCCAGGTGCAGAGTTGAAGCCCCATGACCGACCAAAAAAAAAAAAGTTCATGGAATTTTGTCTGCACCAATGGCTAAGTAGTATTTTTTGGTGGTGCTGGGTTTGTCATTTTTTTTTTTCTTTCTTTTTTTTGCCAGTCCTGGGGCTTGAGCTCTGGGCCTGGCTCTGTCCCTGAGCCTCTCTGTGCTCAAGGCTAGTGTTCTACCACTTGAGCCACAGCACCACTTCTGGCTTTTTCTGTTTAGATGGTACCAAGGAATCAAAGCCAGGGCTTCATGCACGTTAGGCAGGCACTCTACCGATGAGCTACATTCCCAGCCCAGTGGTATTAGGTTTGAACTCAAGGATTCCTGCTTGTTAGGCAAATACTCTACCACTTGAACCATGTCCCCATCTTTTGCTTTAGCTATTTTTCAGATAGGCTCTTGCTTTTGCCTGGGGCTAACCTACCTCTGAGTCGCACTTCACATGCTCCAACATGATTGGCTTGTCCTTTGAGATGGGATCCCAGTACCGTTTTGCCTGAGCTAGCCAGAAACTGTGATACTCCTATCTTCACCTCTGGTGTAGCTGGGATTATAGGTATAAGCCACTGTACAGGTTTCTCTGATTTGTTTTTTTTCAACGTAGGCAGTCAGGTATAAACTTTCCTCTTAGTACTGCCTTTGCTGTGACCCAAAAGTTTTGGTAAGATGTACTTTCATTTCCATGTGCTTCTAGTAGTGTTTTTTATTTCTTTGTATTTCTTTGATGAACACACTAAACATTGAGAAATGAATTATTAATCTGGTAGCTGGCTTATGGCTATAATCATAACTACTCAAGAGGCTGAGATCTGAGGATCAAGATTTGAAGCCAGTCCAGGCAGAAAAGTCTGCAAGACTCCATCGCTAGCTAACTCCCCAAATGTTGGTCTGTGGTCTGTGGCATGGCTCTGCGCAAGCAAGCTGAGTGAGAATGTGAAACCCTGAGTTCAAGCCTTAGTACTGGCACACACAAAAAAATGGTAGAGGGCTGGGATATAGCTCAGTGGCAACGCGCTTGCCTAGCAAGAGCAACATCCTGGGTTCAATCCCCAGTACCAGAAAAGACAAGAGCAGAAAAAAATCCAGTTTAAAAAATTTGGTAGAGCCAGACACCAGTGACTCACGTTGTAATCCTAGCTACTGGGGGTACTGAGCTCTGAGGACCACAGTTCAACGCCAGCCTAGGCAAGAAAGTCCACGAGATTCCAATAAGCTACTCACAAAACACTGAAAGAGGGGCTGTGGCTTATGTGGTAGAGCCACTTGAGTGAAAAAAGCTCAGAGAGAGTGCTCAGGCCCTGAGTTCAAGCCCCAAGACAGGCACAGGAATAAAATTGATGAGGCTCTTGTTTGGTATTAATTGACAAACTGGCTGGCAGTTATTAGTATGCACTGCATGAGAGACTGACACAGATAATAATGAGTTTGACCAAGATTAGAGGGAGGAACATGGTCTTCTCAAGGATGGGAGTGAATTTATGGCTTCCTTCTCTCATAGAGGAAGAGGAAGTGACATACACAGTCATTGATCAGTTCCAACAGAAGTTTGGTGCTGCGGTAAGTATTGCTCTCTGTCCTTCCCAGGCCTGGTTCCACATAGGTATCCTGTCTGTGTCTCCTTGATTTCTTTCATTGTAAGTTCCGTGGTGTTGAGCCAGGCACTGGTGACTCTCATCTGTAATCCTAGCTATTATGGAGACTGATATCTGAGGATCGTTGTTCAAAGCCAGCCCAGGCAGGAAAGTCCATGAGATTCTCATCTCCAATGAACCACCAGAAAACTGGAAGTTGCTCTGTGGCTAAAGTGATAGAGCGCTTGCCTTGAGCTGAAGAGCACAGAGACAGCGCCCGGCCCAGAGTTCAAGACCCACGACCAAAAAAAAAAAGTTCTGTGGTGTTGTTCTTACTAACTTGATGGAATTAATATATGTCAATCTATTCTAAGATGTGGAGTAAAACAATAATTGAGACAAAATTCTAGCCCTTAGAAGACCTTACATTCTGTGTGTGCGTGCGGACATGTGTGCACATGCATGTATTTGTCTGCTGGTACTGAGGCACATGCGTGTATTTGTCTGCTGGTACTGAGGCTTGGACTCAGGGCCTGAGTACAATCTCTCAGCTTTTTCACTCAAGGCTAACATTCTATTACTTGAGTCACTCTCCACTTCCTACTTTGTTCTGGGTGGTTAATTGGAGTTAGAGTTTCACAGTCTTCCCTGCCTGGGCTGGCATCAAACCTTGGTACTCACATCTCAGTCTCCCCAGTAGCTAGGATTATAGACATGAGCCATCAGTGCCTAGCAAAAGTGGGAAATAATTGCTATGAAGAAAAACCGAGCACAGTTAGGAATGCATAGTGCAGGGAGGTACTATTTTATGTGGGACTGATCGAGACAACTTCTCTGGAGAGATGACTTTGGAACAGGGATTTGGAGGAAGTAAGAGAGTGAGCTATGTGACTCTATTGCTTGGGAAGAATTTTCAAAATGTAGAATTAGAGCTGGGCGCTGGTGGCTCATGCCTGTAATCCTAGCTACCCAGGAGGCTGAGATCTGAGGATCGCAGTTCAAAGCCAACCCAGGCAGGAAAGTTTGAGTCTCTTATCTCCAATAAACCACCAGAAAACCAGAAGTGGCGCTGTGGCTCAAGTGGTAGAGCGCTAGTCTTGAGCTGAAGAGTCCAGGGACAGTGCCCAGGCCCAGAGTTCAAGCCCCACAACTGACCAAAAAAAAAAGTAGAATTAGGCAGTGCAAAGGGCCTGAGGCTAAAGCATTCCTGATAGTGGAAGAACAGGGAGGTGGACAGGAAGGGGTGGGAGGCACACCAGGTATGTTCAGCAGTTGGTTGAATCATCTTTTTTCTGTCACAGTGTTACTGTCCTGTACTGATGGGCAGTGGCCATTGTGCTACTCAGCAGCCACTGCTGTCTCTTGGGCCTGCAAGTCTCCTTACCCAACTCCCTTCTAAGTGCTTAGCAATTACTAGAAGCATTTCCAGTCCTATTTGACTGAGCTGAAAAGTCTGAAATTTTCTGACTTAGACTTACTCATTTACTTGTTTGTTTATGCTGGTTATGGGGCCTGAACTCAGGGCCTGGGCACTGTCCCTGAGCTTCTCTGCTCAAGGCGAGCATACTACCACTTGGAGCCACAGTGCCACTTCTAGTTTTCTGGTGGTGATATGAGTCTCATGGACTTTCCTGCCTGATCTGGCTTTGAACTCAGATCCCCGGGATCTCAGCCTCCTGAGTAGCTAGGATTACAGGCTTGAGCCACTGGCACCCAGCTAGAAAGAAACCTTTTAGCCATCTCACTCAACCCCTCCCCAGCAGCTGGCAACTACTAATTTCTTTCTGTATAGATTTGCCTATTCAGGATGTTGCACACGCATGGATCATGGTGATCTTCTTGGACCAGCTTTGTTTACTTGGCATAATATTCTCAAAGTTCATTCACCTTGTAGGAAGTTTCAGTATTTCGAATAGGGCTGTTTTGTACTCATCAGATTAGTACATTGAAGGACATGGTCTTTTGATTGTAGTTGCCATTGGCGATGTCACTGTGCCATTGTTTGATCCCTGGAGCTTCTTCTCTTTCCAGATGCTTCACATCAAGAAGCAGAGTGTCCTGAGCGTGGCTGCAGAGGGAGCCAATGTGTGTCGCCATGGGAAGCTGTGCTGGCTTCAGGTAAGTGGGTTTTTTCAAAACTTGTGATTCTGAAATAACTGTAGATTTACTAGTTCCTTCTCTCTTTCTCTCTTTCTCTTGTGCTTGCCCTGAGGTTTGAACTCGGGGCCTAGGCGCTGTCACTGAGTTTATTTACTTAAGGCTAACTCCCTACCACTTGACACACAACTCCACTTCCGACTTTGTGATAGTTAATTCAAGATAAGACTTTCCTGCCCAAGCTGGCTTTGAACCCCAATCCTCAAATCTCAGCCTCCTGATTTTTGTTGTTGTTGTTGTCAGTTGTCAGGCTTGAACTCATGGCGTAGGCACTGTCCCCGAGCTTTTTCACTCAAGGCTAGCATTCTACCACTCTGAGCCACAGTGCCACTTCCAGTTTTCTGGTGGTTAATTGGAGATAGGAGTCTCATGGGCCTGGGGCTTAGTGGTAGAGTGCTTGCCTAGCAGTACCACATACACAGAAGAAGCTAGAAGTGGCACTTGTGGCTCAAGTGGTAGAGTGCTAGCCTTGAGCTGAAGAGCTCAGGGACAGTGCCCAGGTCCTGAATTCAAGCCCCAGGACTGGCAAAAAAAAAAAAAAAAAAGTTCCACTGTTCTAATCATACCTTGGTCTTTTCTGTGGCCAGCCCCCACCTCCTCCCTTCCAAAGTTCTGTAGCACCATCAGGCATCTCATTAGCAGCGTATACAAAGGATGTTCATCATCTTGGAGACTCCAGCTTAGAAACTATACAGGAGGAAGAACAATTTTTTTTTTTTTTGGTCAGTCATGGGGCTTGAACTCTGGGCCTGGGCGCTGTCCCTCAGCTCTTCAGCTCAGGGCGAGCGCTCTACCACTTGAGCTACAGCGCCACTTCCGGTTTTCTGGTGATTTATTGGAGGTAAGAGTCTCTCGGTCTTTCTTGCCCAGGCTGGCTTTGAACAATGATCCTCAGATCTCAGCCTCCTGAATAGCTAGGATTACAGGCGTGAGCCACCAGCGCCTGGCAGGAAGACCACATTTGTATTTCACAATACTGCAATTAGAATGCAGGGGTGAAAGTGGTTTAAGTTGTGACTATTGGCAATAAAAGTCTTAATTCACCTACTTATCCTTTTCTCTCCCTGAAAAATCTCAGTGGCTTTGTCTTGTGTGTGGGAGTGCTGGGTGTTAAACCCTTGCTCACACATGGACTCTGCTCACACATGGTCTGGACCACTGCATCATAACCAAGCTCATTGTGTCTTTTTTTTTTTTTTAACTTAAGATCGATTTAAACCTGTGTTTCCCTAGGAATCATTGATGTCTCTTGTTTGATCAACTGTGAAGATATTAAATATTTTTTGTCCCACGTCTTGTACTCTTGATCCTCAGATCTCCTTCGCCAGTTATTTAGCCTATGATATTGTCTATCATAGGTAGCCACAAATAGCCGAGTATACTTATTTGACATTTTCCTTTTGGGAAGTCGTGCTTTCAACAATGGACTTCAGATGATACTGGAAGACAAAAGAATTTTAAAGGTGAGTGTGGAAGCCATTCCCCAGGTAATAAGGTGACCAGCCAGGTTCTAATTGCTCTGTCTCCGTCTTCTGGCTCCTTAGGTAATCCATGACTGTCGTTGGCTTTCTGATTGCCTCTCTCACCAGTATGGAATCATGCTGAATAATGTCTTCGATACACAGGTATGTGAAGGGGCCTGGATCTGAACCAGTGTGTATAAATCCTGGTTGAAAATAATCCTGGTCTGATGAATAGTTTGTTTGTTGGTGTTGGTATCACATTCTGATATAAGGTGTTTGTATACTATATAAAAGCACTGACAAAAAGCCCCTATTGTTTTGGAATAAGCCAGGCATGGGTGGTTCATATCTGTAATCCTACCTACTCAGGAGGCTGACCTCTGAGGATCACAGTTCGAAGCCAGACTGGGCAGAAAAGTCCATGATCCTCTTATCTCCAATAAAATACTCAGAAAAAGCCAGAAGTTGCACTGCGGCTCAAATGGTAGAGAGCAAGCCAAAAGAGGCTTAGAGACAGCACCCAGGCCCTGAGTTCAAGCTCAGGATGGGCAAAAAAGGGAAAACAACAACAACAACAAAGCTTACTTTGGAATATGTTTTTTTCTTAGCTCTAGAGTTTGTCAAATAAGAAAAAAGGAAACAAGACCTGTACGTTATAGCATTTAAGAACTTAAGCAGTTTGGGAACAGACTAAAAGTCACATCCCTGCCTTTCCACATATGCTGCTCAAGGCATGTAGGTTGTTCTGGATTCCTTCCTTCCTGGCTTCCTGGCTTGCTTGCTTCCTTCCTTCCTTCCTTCCTTCCTCCCACCCTCCCCCCTCTCTTTCTTCCTCTCTCTCTCTTTTCCTCTTTCTTTCTTTCTTTCTCTTCTAGCACTAACCTAGGACCTTCACTTGCTAAGTTGGCTAAGTGCTAAGCTTGTGCTTTGCCACTGTATAAACTACGTCTATGCTTTGCTTACCCCAAAATGTAAAGAAACAGTTCAACAGTGCCTTAGGGCTCCTTTTCTTGAGCCTTGGTGCATACTAAAGAAGTGTTCTACCATTGAGCTGCATACCCAGCCCAGTCTGGACTTCCTTGTGAAGGAGAGCTTCAAACTCAGATCCTCTGATCTCAGCCTCCTGAGTAGCTAGGATTACAGGCGTGAGCCACTGGTGCCCAGCATCTGCCTCCCTAAAAGAATATTTACATCATGAGTGTGGTAGCCCAACCCTGCAGTGCAAGTACTGGGGAGCCTGAAGCAAGAGGCTCAAGTTAGGCTGCGTAGTGGGCTCCAAGCCAGCTTCAGCCACACAGTGAAACGCTGTCTCAAACCAAACACTGTGAGCCAGGCACTCGGTTCAGCCTGCAATCCTAGCTACTCAGGAGACTGAGATCTGCAGATCACGATTCCAGGCTGGTCCAGGCAGGAAAGTCTGTGAGACCCCAAATACCAAAAAGCCAGACTTATGGGTTAGGAAGGTGGCTCAGTGGTAGAGCTCTTGCCTTGCATGCATGAGGCCCTGGGTTCGATTCCTCAGCACCACATAAGCAAAAAAGAAAAAAGCCGGAAGTGGCTCTGCGGCTCAAGTGGTAGAGCACTAGTCTTGAGCTGAAGAGCTGAGGGACAGCGCCCAGGCCCAGAGTTCAGGCCCCATGACCAAAAAAAAAAAGCCAGAATTGGAGTTGTGACTCAAGTGGTAGAGCGCTAGCCTAAAGCACAGAAGCTTAGGGATGACACCCAGGCCTGGAGTTTAAGCCCCAGGACCAGTATACACACACACACACAGACACACACACCTTCTTAAAATAATTTTGTTCATGAGATAGTGTTCTGTGTGTGTCTTTTTCTAATACCACAGGTAGCAGATGTCCTTCAGTTTTCCATGGAAACAGGTGGCTTTCTTCCCAACTGCATCAGCACTTTGCAGGAGAGTTTAGTCAGACACCTTAAAGTTGCCCCTAAACACCTCTCTTTTCTCGAAGAAAGACACAGGCTCCTGGTGAGTATTAAAGGGGGTCCTATTTGAGGGCAATTTTTTTCCAGCGTTTTCTGAGAAGGACTAGTAGCCTGTTCTGTAGAGGAGTGACGGGTGGGTACCATGAAAGCAGCACACAGGCATTGCCAGAACATTCCTTGTGCCGGTGTGTGTACATGTGTGTGTGCACACGTGCATGCTTAAGTGCATGTGTTCGGCCAGTATGTGATTGAGCAACCTTTCAACAGTTACTTTCTCTAAAGTTTATTTACTATTCATTAAAAAAAAAATTGTTTCTAGGAAAATCCGGAAGTGTGGTTCACAAGACCTCTTCCACATGCTTTATTGAAAATTTTGGCCCTGGAAGCGACCTACCTTCTCCCCCTCCGCTTGGTACTTCTGGATGAGATGATGTCAGACCTAACCACCCTGGTGGATAGGTACCTGAACACCTATCGGGAAGGGTCTGCGGACCAGCTTGTAGGCACAGAGGTAGGGGATCTCTGTGGGTGTGTTTTCAGGACCCCTTTTCTGCCACTAGAGGGGGCTGTGTGAACACATTTGAACCAATACACTTGCCTTTTTATTGTTAGGTATAATGGAAGTAATTGTAAGGACTCTATTCAGAAATGTAGTTCACATAAACTTATTTTCCTTTTCTTTTCTTAGCCCACATGTATGGAGCTTCCAGAGGAACTACTACTACTAAAGGACTTCCAGAAGCAGCGCAGAGAGAGAGCAGAAAAAGAATACAGAGTAAATGCGCAGGGACTCCTAATAAGGACAGTGCTTCATCCAAAGCAATCAGTAATAGAGAAAGCAGGAAAGGAGGAACAAATCCAAGGCGTCTTAGTCTGTAAAAATTCTAAGGTAGAGAAAGTTCCAAGTTTTATATCTCGTGATTTTCAAAAGCATGTGAAGTCGCTGAAAGAATCTAAGCAAGCAACAACAAAAGTTCCGTTTCAGCTTCCCATGAAAGAAGAAGCCAGAAAGGATGCCAGTAATACACTCGCTGGCCCCGAGGACCAGAGGGACACGCAGGAAGATGGCCTGATGATCCCCAAGAATGCATTTCAGACAAGTTCTTCTTTGAAAGAAGAGATTGAACAGCTTCTGATGGTAAAAAGTAAGGAGGGTCTCACGTGCACAAAACAAGATGTTTCAGTGTCTCCTCTTCCTCAGGAAGCCAGAGTGGCACAGAGTGGTGCTGGTCCTCCTTTCCAAAGAGCTGTGACTTCCCCGCTTCCTCCCTGCCCAGCGCTGGAGAAGACAGAATCCTGGATGAATCCATCTCTAAATCTGCCTTAGATGCGCATAAGAGCACGAGGCTTTGAGTTCAAACCCCAGTAATGTGTACACACACACACACACACTCAGACACACATGGGACTTAGGACTTGGAGTTTGTTTTGAAGCAGGCACCATACAGGTACCTGGCTCACTTTCCCTACTATCTTTGGCCTTCTTCAATGCCTAAGTTTTCTCATGCTGTATGTTTGTTATATCTTCATAAGCTTCCAGGAACAATGACATCCTCATGCTTACTCACACATTCCTGATATTTGGTCTAGAGTGGGAATGGATAAGTTAAATAATGAAAGCGGTAAAATGTCTGATTATGTCACTGTGCAGAAATGTTCACAGTGGCCAGAGTAAATTACTTCTCATAATTCAGGTTTAAATGACTTGAGAAAGGGGAAAATATCTTAGGCTTAATATCAAGAAAAAAATCTAGTTTTTTAATTTAGTGAGGTTTTCTTCTTCTTCTTCTTTTTTTTTTTTTTTGGGTGCTGGGGCTTAAACTCAGGAACTAGGACCTGTCCATGAGCTTTTGTGCACAAGGCTCTCTACCACTTGACCCACAGCTTCACTTTTGGCCTTTTAATGGTTAATTGGAGATAAGAGTCTCATAGACTTTCATGCCCAGGCTGACTTTGAACTGTGATCCATGGAGTTCAGCCTCCTGAGTAGCTAGGATTACAGGTATGAGCCACCAGGGCCTGGTTTGGTGAAGTTTTCTTTTCCCTCTTAGACTGGTTAGGAAGGTTTTGTAAAATTCTTAGTCATTAGTTTAGTCCTTAGTGGCACACCTGTAGTTCCAGGACTGTGGAGGCTGAAGATGATGCAGAAAATACCAAGTTTAAGGCCAGCCTGGCTACAAAGCAAAACCCTATCACAAAAACAATGATAAAACATGTCTGACAACTTAACCCATACTTTTTTTCCTTCTTAAAGTATTAATTTTATGCTTGAATTTCAAATGCTTAGTCTGTTTATCAGAATTGTTTTTTTCGTTTTTGTTTCATATACTTTCAGAAAGTTTTGTCCATTTTCCTAACAGAGCAGTGGTTCTGGGCATCTATTTAGCTTGAAGGTTCACTCCATTCTGTGTGCCTAAGGTTGGTATGCTTTCTTAGAGGGACAGACATTTGTATTGAACTTTTTTTACATTGAAGATTTGTAAATTGATTTTTGTTATTGTTGTTGCCTGTCCTGGGCTTGAACTCAGGGCTTGGGCTCTGTCTCTGAGCCTCTCTGTGCTCAAGGCTTGCATCTAGCCTAGGCTTAAGCCACAGCGCCACTTCTGGCTTTTTCTGTTTATATGGTACTGAGGAATTGAATCCAGGCCTTCATGCATGCTAGGCAAGCCCTCTACCACTAAGTCACATCACCAACCCCAGTCATTCTTTTGTAAACAGTAAACCAATAAATGTGTTTTGGCATTGGGTTATCTCTCATTCAGCTTAATTGGATCCGATTAGAAAGTTATTAGAATGTATCTGTATTTCTAGGTCAGAATCTATATTAGAAATCTGTATTCTGAAGGAGTAACAATAGCACACTCTTGAAATCAGATCTTGGAGGTTGAGGTAAGAGGATCCAAGAGTTTGAGGTCATCCTGAGCTACATTTAAAAAAAAAATAGTCCTGCCTTTGTTACAGGACTAGATTACTATTACTCCTCCAGGAAATTGAGGGACAGCACAAGAGAAGCAACGTGCTTGTCTGCACAGACAACTCTGAGTGTTATTGAAAAGTTGCTGTGCATTCCTGAGCTCAAGAACACATGTGGGCTGGGTTTCAGGTGAAGGTAGGCACACTGGCAGGTTGCCTTGTCTCACCTGGTTTTTTGTTCAGAAAGCCACATGGGCCAATGTGGTTGCTGGTTCACCTTGATGAACACATCTTCAGAATGTGGTTAGTTTATTTTCACTCCAGAAAATAATTCCTACAAATTTCCTGGAATTTATGGTTTCTTTTTCTTTGCTTAAATTTTTTTTTCTTTATTGTCAGTCCTAGGGCTTGAACTCACGGTCTGGGCGCTGTCCCTGAGCTTGATTCCCTTAAGGCTGTTGCTTTACCACTTGAGCCACAGCTCCACTTTGAGCTTGTTAGTAATTGATTGGGGATAAGTCTCATGGACTTTCCTGCCCAACCTGGCTTCATACCATGGTCCTCAGAGCTCAGCCTCCTAAGTAGGATTATAGGCACAAGCTACCAGCACCTGGTCACCACATTTGAAGTTGTTTCTTCTGGATGTATTACCATTAACCTGTGTGTGTGTGTGTGTGTGTGTGTGTGTGTGTGTGTGTGTGTGTGTGTGTGTGTACATACGTAAACGTGCTACCAAATAAAATATATATTTTTTTTTATTTATTTATTTTGTCGGCCGTGGGGCTTGAACTCTGGGCCTGGGCGCTGTCCCTCAGCTCTTCAGCTCAAGGCGAGCGCTCTACCACTTGAGCTACAGCGCCACTTCCGGTTTTCTGGTGGTTTATTGGAGATAGGAGTCTCACGGTCTCTCCTGCCCGGGCTGGCTTTGAACCGCGATCCTCAGATCTCAGCCTCCTGAGTAGCTAGGATTACAGGCGTGAGCCACCAGCACCCAGCCAAATAAAATATTTTTAAAAGGACTTTCAGTGTGTAACTTTTTTGACTGAGGCACAACAGATCAGGGAAAATGAGGCATAGGGAACGGGAGCTCAGAATTTAGAGACAAACACTATTAATGAATGGAGCTTGAGCAACATCTCCATTTTTGGCTTTTTGGAGAAAAGAATCTCATGGAATTTCCTTCCTGGGCTGGCTTTGAACCTCTATCCTCACACTCAGTCTCCTGTACAGCTAGACTTACAGGCGTGAGCCACTGCGCTCCGTACCAAATACTGTCTTTGCATCATGCTGTGGCTTTCTCACTAAGCTGCAACATGTAGTTGGGAAGAAAAGAAACTTTCTCTGGTCTTGCTTGTTTGCCCAAGTATTAGTGTACTCTGAGACCTGAGCTTTCTGGTAAAATATCAGCCTACTAAACACAAAGCCCTGAGTTCAAACTGCAGTACTGCAAAATGGGAGGGAAAAAAGGCCTACTGGCTCATGCCTGTAATCCTAGATACTCAGGAGGCAATTAGAATCATAGTTCAGGGCTGGGAAGGTGGCTCAGTGGTAGAGTGCTTGTCTTGCATGCATGAGGCCCTGGGTTCAATTCCTCAGCACCACATAAACAGAAAAAGTCGGAAGTGGTGCTGTGGCTAAAGCAGTAGAGCGCTAGCCTTGAGCTGAAGAGCTAAGGGACAGGCCCAGGCCCAGAGTTCAGGCCCCACGACCAGACCCTCCAAAAAAAAAAAATCATAGTTCAAGGCCACTTGGGGCAAAAAAGTTAATGATACCCACCCCCATCTTAACCCATAAAAAGCTGGGTTCTAGGCTGGGCGCTGGTGGCTCGCCTGTAATCCTAGTTACTCAGGAGTCTGAGATCTGCGGATCATAGTTCAAAGCCAGCCAGGGCAGGAAAGTCCATGAGACTCCTTTATCAACAATTAACCACCAGAAAACGAAGTGGTGCTGTGGCTGAAGTGGTAGAGTACTTGCCTTGAGCTGAAGAGCTCAGGGACAGTGCCCAGGCCCAGAGTTCAAGCCCCATGACCAAAATAATAAATTTAAACTGCAAACCTATTCCTTCTTGGACCTTCCATATTTCTAGCAGTTGACTGTCCAGTGTAGCTAGTGGTGGCAGATTGAGACAAGACAATCTGTTCCCCAAGCTTTTTTTTTTTGGGGGGGGGGGCCAGTTGTGGGGCCTGAACTCTGAGCCTGGGCTCTGTCCCTCAGCTCTTCAGCTCAAGGCTAGTGCTCTACCACTTGAGCCACAGTGCCACTTCTGGCTTTTTTCTTTTTGCTTATGTGGTGCTGAGGAATTGAACCCAGGGCCTCATGCATGCAAGGCAATCGCTCTACCTCTGAGCCACCTTCCCAGCCCTCCTCAAGCTTTATTAAACAGTGTGTTTGAGAAATACTGACTCCTAAATGATATTTTGGGGTTTCATCACAGAATTCTTTCACCGACAGATTCATATACCTAAAACTCCTTTTCCCTCACCCTCCTAGCTTTGTCTATCTAAATTCTTTGTAGCCACCCAGACTTGTATCCTTTTCCAGATTTAATGTGAAAACAAGTCTCTGGAGGGCTCAGAACTCTTGGAAAACCAGGGACTCAACAAACAAGGGTTACCCTTTCCTAGTGCAGACGTGGCAAACTGTGTGGCCTGTTTTCCCCAAGTCTTGCTACAATCCCCCTCACATTTTCTCTGTCTGCCCCCCATCAGATAACCTTTCACACATAGTCTGACTCCTAGCTCTGGAATTAGAGATGAAGCTCAATGACTTTCCGGAACAAAAAAGCAGAACTGGGAGTAGAAGGAATGGTCTTTGGCATCTGGTCCATCCCAATTTTCTTTCAAGTCCAGGCCAAAAGCCCTGCAGTAGCTGGGCCTCCTGTTTTCCTGGGGCCAAAAAGACCCAGAGCACTGGGGAATGGCATGCCCCCTAGGCCTCTCATCATTTTCACCCAAGGCAAGTCCCCTCAGCCAGCTGAGACCTGAGGTAAACCAGGGAGCTGGGGAACAATTAACTCCTCTATCCATAGGGTATATTATTTTATTGTACCAGTCCTTGAGATTGAACTCAGGGCCTGGGAACCATCCCTGCACTTTTTCGCTTCAGGATAGCACTCCATCATTTCAACTACAGCTCTACTCAGGCTTTCTGGTGGTTAATTGTAGATAAGAGTCTCAAGAACTTGGGCTAGGAATGTAGCTCAGTTGTAGAGTGCTTGCCTAGCATGCATGAAGCCCTGGGTTTAATTCCTCAGTACCATAGAAACACAAAAGGCCAGAAGTAGTGCTGTGGCTCAAGTGGTAGAGTGCTAATAAGCAAAAAAAGCTCAGGGGCAGTGCCCAGGCCCTGAGTTTTTAAGACCCAGGACTGGCAAAAAAAAAAAAATTCTCAAGAACTTTTCATTTCTTGATAATTACCATATTTAAATTTCAGATCCTATAACTTAATCTCATTGGTGATAAAAAACAAATATCTATGAACAAATAGTCCCACTTTGGGGACTTTGAAATCTTGTCACGTTTTGTAGTGCTTTTCTAACATTTTATTATACAATATTTCAAATTTACAGTGGACACCCACATGCCACTATCCACATTCTACTTAGAAGTCTTTCTGGGATTTTAACTGAAATGATATAGAACTTACAACAATGCAGTTCCATTTCTACAATCTCAACAATAATTATACAACTATGGACTCTAAGATCACTTTTCAAAGTAAACTCTTCCTCTTTTTTACATAATCCTTTAAAATTCCTTCTAGCTGGGCACCAGTGGCTTATGCTTGTGATCCTAGCTACTCAAGAGGCTGAGACCTGAGAATTGTGGTTTGAAACCAGCCTGGACAGGCAAGTAAGTCCCTGAGACCCTTATCTCCCATTAATCACAGAAAAAGCTGGAAG